GATTCAACAAGGGAATCAGTCACCTCGTGTTGATTCTAGCTCAAAACAGGAACAAAAAACCACATATATTTAGAAAAGGAATCGGTCACCTCGTGTTGATTGTAGCTCAAAACAGGAACAGAAAACCACATATGTTTAGAAAGGAATTGGGTGTGTAGGGCAATTTTGCCGTCACGAAACGTATTATGACGTCAAAGAATGTTATGATGTAGCTGTGTTGGAGGGTTCTTTTGTAATTTTCTTTAAAAAAAAGGGTAATCGTGGCATGGTACAACTATGACTACGTTTGTCTCCGTTAGCCTCATGCATTTCAAGCACGCGATGAAGCATCGTACCGAGGAGGTTTTATTGACGTAAAACTTCTCTTAATTTTTCGATTGGCGATTTGAGCATGGTACTTTGGCTTGAAAAGGTAATACGATATAGCCCTTTATTATAAATGGTAAGTCAACAAGTGGAGTTGTGGTATAGTCGGTTATCATGTCCACCTTGCACACAAAAGGTTATCGCTAATAATATATTAAGAAAAGAAAAAATTTTGAATATTAAAAAAATTTTATTTTATGAGATATTTTAAGAGAGAAAAATAACACTAGCTTATACCACTTAATAATTTATTGTTAAGTTGCTTTATCAATTACCTCACATTGCAAGTATGAATTTATTTATATTTTTTTAATTTTATTAAAATATTATTGTAAATTTATATTTATATTTCTATCCACATGAATTATTATATATTAGATTTATTTATTTGTGAGGGCCATACCCTTGTTTTTTGAATTACATTTATTATAATATTTTAATTAATAATTATACTAATTACAATGATAACTAAATCTTATATTTTACTTATTAATTTATTTATTTTAATTATACAGACAACCATATAGAAAAACAACTTCTCATTAATCACCTATTTTTACAAAATAAAGAAAATAAGTAATGCACCACTCCTAAATTCTTTTAGAAATTAAAAATAACACTATTTTTATATATTTATAGTGACTTTTTAAATATTCTTTGGGACAACAATTGCCGATTCTGCCCGATTCCCGATCCGAAACACCGATTCACCGATCTGGATGGGTTTCTAAGGTGCCCGATCAGGGGTACCCATCTGTTTTTTAAATCACTGTTCCAAAGTATGCTCAACCCCTAAGCCTTAGATGCAAGAATTCCTAGGTGGGCAACTGAAAAATGGTGGCAATCAATGTGCCGATGGATCTAATGGGACACCCATCCTCTGAGCATTAATTCTAAGTTTTAAGTCATTCAATCATTTATCCATTGGTGTCTACATTTGCCGCACATCTGTCCTTCAAAGGGAAGGATGCGTTAGAGGGGCAATTATAGACACCCAATTTGGAATTGACATTTTCTCTTAAGTCTAAATCTCAAGGCATAGAAATAACTCTCAAAGACATAGAGAAAAGCATTAAACAAGATATTTAATCCCTAGGTACCACATTAGCACAATACACTATAGGACACATTAAACCATAATCCATATCAAATCATAGTCTAGCAAGAATATACCTAGAGATCCCAAATATCCCATCTTAGGAAGCCTAGGACCAAAAAATGAAGGTTTAAGGGAAAAAAAAGAAACTGAATACTGAGGAAATTGCCAAACCCCGTCAATTTGATAAAAAATTACATGAGATTATCCTCAAAATTAGAATCCCAGAAAAAACTATATCAGCCAGAGTCGGTTAGCTAATTCTACCACCTTAAATTGTACACGGGGAAGTGCGGTGTGACAAGTTCTCAGTCTCTAATTGGCTCTGACAACTGCCTTTTAATTTCTGAAGTCCATTTTTGTTTACAAAAGTTTCATTTTCGACCATCAAAGGGGTTAGTCAGTCGGCACTTTCAAAATAAACCCTAATTTTCTTGCCTAACTCAACCCTAATCCTTAAAAACCCTTTTAGTTAAATTCTTAGGAGCCTTCAAACCCTTAAACCCTTCCAATAGCCATGATCAATCATTTCTTAGGAGAAATCATCCATCTTTTTATTACCTTATGCATTAAACCCTAGATTTCTAAAGCCTTCTCACTTCTATTCTTTTAAGATTCAAAGTCAGTTATTTTACTTCAAAATGAGTTTATTCAATCAATTAGGCTCTGGTCACGACCCTTAGTCTAGGTGTAGGGTGATAGGCATTGGCCGATGCAAAGTTTTTCATTTCGCTTTATTTTCATTTTTAGCTTTCTTTATTTCTTGTACCTTTGCTTATCATATGTTTCCCTTCAACTTGGATGTGATTACAAGCCAGCGCTGTCAAAGGTTCGAAGAGGCTTTGATCTCTTAAGTGAGATCTGATCACTTTTGGAGGGGAAATCGATAGGTTGCCCATATATTTTCAGTTAATTCATGAAGAGTGAATTTGCATAAGATCTTGTATTAGGTCAGGCCTGAATTTAGTTGTATACAGATCTACACCATTTTTTAAGTTTTAAAATTTATAACTAGGGCTAAAAATCGATCGTTGAGCCGTTTTAAGATTTCCAACATGCAAACTACATCTTCGAATAAAACTATGGACGTGCGCCTTACTTCTATGGCTTGTTTGATAACTAGAAGCAAGTTCATGAATTGTAAATTGGAAGTTCTTCCTTGTTAGGAAGATAGAAGTTACTGTAAGAAGTTCATGGTTTCTATATTTGATAACTTCTTGGGAAGTTAAAAAAGTTCCTGGTTTCTATATTTGATAACTTCTTGTGAAGTTAAAAAAAGTTCGTGTTTAATAACCTCCTGAGAAGTTAAAGAAGTTACTGGTATTTGTGTTTGATAACCTCCTTGGAAGTTAATGTTTAAATTCTACTTTCTCAATTATATTTCTCTCAATACTGGATTCTTCAACCATTTTTTGAACTCAAATTCCACAACAAACTCACCAAATTTCGTGTTGATTTCTTTGAGAAATGTTGTTATTTGCAAAAATTTCCAATCAATCTATATAACAAGTTGGTTTTTTTCTTTGTTCGTTGATTCTACAACTACAGTCTCAATGGTCGAATAAAACCCCATGGATGCTAAATAAGTATGAAAAGTTTTCTCATATTCATAGATGAAGAACACATAATCAAAGCTTAATAACAAAGATCAAAGCTCAAGAAAGAAATCATGCGGAAAGAGAGAGAAATATGCAGAAAATTATCATCTTGAAAACCTTGAAATATCAAACAAGAAAACCCAATTTTGAAATATGAAAACAGGGAAAACCCAATTCTTACAAGTTTCCAAAATTTTCAAATAAAAATAATAATATTCAATAAAATTGTAGAAGATAAAGGTTCTTCAAAAGGAAAATACTCACTAACAAGTACCAACAAAACCACCTATATACAGGATGAATTGATGAAGGGGAAAGAAAAATAAAACCTAAATCTAACAAAATTCAAAAAAATATTAAAGAGGCATGGAAAAGCATTATTAAAAACCTGTACTCAAACCAAACCCTGTATTCCAATCAAACCATTGTTTACGTGAACAAGAATTGCCCTTCACTCAACTAACAACTATAATCAATAAAACAAGAGGAAAATATTCAACACCAAACACAAACACAAGGGCAGGAATCATAAAAAAATCCCCTAAAAAACTCAAACACAAGGGCAGGAATCACCCATAAAGTACGCATATGAAAGTACATGTATCACATAGGCTTTAAGTGCCCCAATCCACAAAGAAATTTAAACACCACGATAAATCATTATCTTTTAAAATCCTCTTCAACAAAAAACAATCCAAAAAAGGTTGTACATATTTTCAGCATGAATCAACATATATCCCATACTCTACAATCCAAATTCAGATGCAGTAACATAAAACCCTAATTCTCATAAACACACAAAAGAAAATCAATGAAAGGTACATATATATTCATTAATGCTTTCAGATTCGCTTCGGAGTCTGTTTCGGTTTGACATGAAAAATGAAGCAATTCGATGATTCGGTTGATTTAGGAGAAGACTTCGGGTTTTTTAAAAAAAAAATAAAAAATAGAAATATATTTTTATAAGTTAAAAAAAGAAAAAATAAAAAATTTGTTACTACTTATATGCTAATACTATTACCAATGATAAATCTTAATTACAAAGAGCAAGTTATAGCGTTTCTATTCATCATTTTACATTCCAAATAAATATTAAATGATAACAAATATGTGAATATCCATCATTTTCTGGTTTAATCCAAATAAAAAATTACAAATTCAAAGGTAAAAAATATATGTCAACGAATCTGTAACCATAGAGATCATAAAAACATTCATGCATATACATAATATATAAAAAAAAGAAGAAGAAAGAAAGATACAAATAATAAAGTTCATGAGGTCCATAATTCCATATCTAGTCCAAATGTACATTGCCAAAATCTAACCCAAAAAGAGCATTTTAATCCAACCAAAAAAAGAGCACTTTAATCCAACCAAAAATAGAGGATAGAGAAATTATTGAATCCTAATTTTAATTTGATCAATTTCATCCTAGAGATCGAATCCATTTTATTCTTTCAATTTTCAAATAAATAGTCAAAACAAAAATTCATAAAACATCACAAAGAAAAAGTATAAAAAAAAAATCATAATACCATGAAAATAACACACTGAATTAATAAATAATCAACAATCAAAGAGATTGATTCATAAAAATATCAGTGCAGATGCTTGTCCTTATTCGGAGTTATAAGGTTGCTATATGAAAACCCCCAAATGCCCTTATTCAGTGTTATAGGGTTGTTATATGAAATCCCCCAAATTTAGGCCAGAGCTACAAGACATAAAAATATCAGTGCAGATGCTTGTCCTTATTCGGAGTTATAAGGTTGCTATATGAAAACCCCCAAATGCCCTTATTCAGTGTTATAGGGTTGTTATTTGAAATCCCCCAAATTTAGGCCAGAGCTACAAGACATAGGAAGAGAGAGAGGGCATCATGCTTGGGGCCATAGTGTGTGTGTGTGAGAGACAGAGATAGAGAGAGAGAGTACTTGAAATTTTGGAAGAGAGACCTTGAATCTTGATCTTGCAGGTGGAGGGTGGAGCACCAGAGTCCAGATGAGAAAGAAAGAGCCAAGGTAAAAAGTAAAAACCCTCGAGAGAGCCAACGTAAAAACTAAAAACCCTCGTTTCAGCTTTTAAGTTTGGGTCTTCACGCTTGTTCAGTGAATTCCGACGAAATGGAGAAGTTCTACAGTAATGGATAAGTTCCCATTTTAACCTACTCACATTTATCAAACACGGAACATCTACAGAAACAAGTGACTGGCAAGTTTTTGGAAGGAGATTTTTTAATAACTTTTGGAAGGAGATTTTTTAAATGTTATTAAATGAACAAAGGGTTTTTTGGGAACTGCAGTCTTTATAGTTACAAGTGAAGAATATTGCAACCGCAGCGACAATTTTTTTTTTTTTTTTTTACCAAAGGTCAAGCGTTTTACTGAAAGAATAGAAAGAAATTATATCATCAGAAATAGAAAATGAAGCAAAAGAAACACCATCTTTAGTTAATGCATCAACAATACTATTAATCTCGCGATAGGCCTGGGAGAAAGAAACAGATAAAGATGCGGAAGCATCCATAATTTATAACCATAAAAAATGATGTTCTCAAGGTACCTTTTGCTCCAGAGTGATGGTTTCGTGAAGCTAATTATATTGCTGATTTGTTAGTAAATGGTGGGGCGTCTATCCCTTCTTTTATTGTTCTATCCCTTCTTTTATTGTTTGTGACGGTGTAATGTTCTTTTGGTAGCTATCAATAAAAAATAGTTGCCTTTGTGAAAAAAAAAATGCTTTCCAACTAGCAAGAATCATGACCAACGTTTTAGAAACTGTCACGGTCAACCGAATTAGCCACTTGTTAGGCTAAGCCGCTCAGGTCTGCTTAGTTATTTTGAGCCCCTGGCACCAGAAGTCAAGGGAAATTTATCTAAATACTTTACAATCCCCCCACCCCCCTCCCAAAATAAAAAATAAAAAAAATTCATTTTAGATGATTTTAATTTCGATTTTTTTTAATAGATTCATCCTCAAGGCCAAGATGATCGTAAATATGAAAAGAAAATAAGCTTTTAAAATTAAAAATATTATTTTTAAGATTATTTTTATGTACCCGTCCATATCTTATTTTTTGACAATACATTTTTAGATAACGGATGGACGTTTGTAAGTTCATGAAACAATTTTCCTTGGCAATAATAGACTTACGATGTCAATTTGTTCTCCCTCAGGTTCACTTTGAAAGACTTGAGCTGAGAAAAAATGCAATCAGGAGTCCTCATTTTCACACCCTCCGGCTGATGTTAGTTGTATCATATCATTATATACAGAAAGCTTTATTGTTTTATTTTTCTCACCCCTTCTACTATCGGTAATGTAATGCCCTCTCTCTCATGATCAGCATCCGAAGGCTTAAAGTAAGGCTCGCATGTACTCATTGTTCAATTCACACTTTTCTCTCTCCATATATAAAATCTCTTCTTTATTTGCGTGTCAAATTTAAATCGTTCGATGAAGCATTCTGTTTTCTTGGGATTTTGTTGGTTTCACCTATAGTTGGAGGAACTGTTCAGATTTCATTTTGCTCTTCCTTTTATCATTTATATAATCATAAGTAAATAGACAGGTAACAAATTTCAGAGGAGATTTGAAACAGCGAATTTCAAGTTTAAAGAGAGAATTTTTGTAAGACCCAAATATTTTTAATTACTGAAGAGAAAGTGTTTTTCTTTTTTTATTTATATAATAACTTGTTTGAAAAAGGAAATTTGCTTATTCATGCCTCACCTTTGGTGGCAGTGATGCTCATACACTCAGCTTGCATAATGGTTTAATTAGATATGTGTTTTATCTGTCATTTGATATTTTCATTTCTCGATATTATAGGGTTCTTTGCCAAATGTGATCTGACATTGCATCAAACGAGACTGACCTGCAATTTGCAGCTACTGTTTTTGTAATTATGTTTGTAAAAGGACAGAATTGTAGGTTTTAGTGCAACAATCTCTGTTTGTTTGGCCTATTTGTTGAATCTCTAATCAGCTTAGTGGCTAATCTCATTATTGTTGTCAGTTTTTTACCCTTTACTTGCAATCGTATATGGGTTTTAAGTCAAATGCCTATGCTGTTAATGAAAAATGGGGGTTTAGGAGAAGAGGAAAAAGCAAGATGCATTGCGGTGGAATCTGGGGCATGATGCATTGGAAAGGCCATCATGTGATGCTAGGTCTCGAAATCAATGGGATAATGAGTGGGAGCCAAAATAAGAAAGAGCGCTATTAGGAGATGAATATAACTTGTGGAACTGGTGTTTTAATATGTTTTGGTTGTGATAGGGTCTCTCACTTCGAAGCCATCAAATTAAGATGCTAGATTCTGCAGGTTGAGAGGAGATAGAGAGAATTAGGGAAAGAAGATGGAGATACTTTGTTTATGGTGGCCGGTCTTCCCATTTCATATTTGCTAAGTAGAAGGGATTTTATCCATGTCATTACTTGATTACTGTGAATGAATTCCTATTTACTTGAAAAGTGAGCGCTGAAGTATCCATGATGAACATACCAAAGTTGTGTTCCACAAATGGAGGAAACCCTTATTGAACAATACACTGAAAGATGACTATATAGATCAATCTTTCGAGACTCGACCGAGGTCACTTGGACTCGAGTTTGTTGTAGGCCCATTTTTATAGGCCATATAAAGTAATGTGTCATTTCCATCTCAAACACATATGAAAGGCGCACTGGATAGGTGCACACTCATGTCCATGATGGCGGGTGTTCGAACCCCACCAACAAACCTTCCTTTTCTTTATTAAAACCCAGGAGAGTCTTTTTGTTTTTTTGTTTTTTCCTTTTTTCTGAAATAGGAGTTAAAAAAAACTGCCAGGTGTAGATTGAACCCAAGACCTCTCAAACAGAGGCATTCCAGGCAGAAATGTAAACAATATGCCATTTGATGGTCGCTACAACCACATGAAACATTATATTATTTTTTCCTTTTTTTCTTTCTTTTTTTTAAGCTGGGGCTGGATTCAGTCGAATTACTCAGACTCGTCCGAGTAACTCGGCTCGGCCAAGTAGATTTTCTAAACCATGATATGGATATTAAAATCTGACACCACCAATACTCGATGTGGAGGATAGAGATCGAACAAGGAGAAATCGGTTATTAACCACCAGTGTCAATCTCAAGTCATGGCTTCATAAATAAGTCAGCTGATTGACTAATAGTGAAGTATGTATGAGGTAATGAGATGACACAAACAAGAAACTCGTTTTGAATGAGATGGCAATCAACTTCAGTACGCTTCCTTTGGTCATGAAAAGACCAGACTGGATTTTATTGGAGGCACTTAGAATGAGGTTGCTATTGTCACACTTACGTGATAAAATGAGAGGGAGTAGATTTAGGTGGGTTGGCCATGTGTGGTGCCGACCAAGTACAACATCTGTTAGGTGGTGTGAGTTAGTTCAAGTGGAAGGATTGATAAGGGCAAGGGGTAAGCCCAAAAAGACATGGCTGAAAGTTGTCCAAAAAGATATAGGGACTTATGGCCTCACTAAGGATATGGCCCTTAATAGAGTATAATGGAGAGCTAGGATTCATGTAGCCGACCCCAGATAATTGGAAAAAAGCTAAAATGATGATGATTGTCACACGGTGAAGGTGTAGATGCTTAAAGTTAAAGATCGAAATTCATATGCAGCGCATAAACCACGTACTCAATATGTTTGACATGGCCTCTATAAAAAATCATCATCGTCTAAGCTCTATCATTCGGGCCGACACCTTCAAAACAATGAATGGATTGCAGTAGGGAAAAACTTCATCTCCAATCTTCTTATCTTTATTATGTAGATCCTTGACATCCACATATCTCTTGGCCAACTAAAGTTTTGTCTTGTTCACTATGGAAGATGATGGATGCTAGATTCCAGTCTAAGGAGAGATAAAATGTCTCTTTCGAACAAATTCTTTCCTGTGTGGAGGAAAGAATCACACATTGGAAAACATACTTGCAAAACATTATAAGTTAATTAAAGAAAAAATTATATTATTTCTGCTTGTGACCCATGCAAGAGGGATTTATATTTTTTATGGTTTCATTTGAAGGTAAGTCCAGATGCAACTATTGATTAAGCTGTTATTGGCCCAGTTCAAGCAGACATATTCTGCATAGAACTTTGAAATATTTCAGGAGATTACTGCTTTAGTATCAATTGGATGGCATAATATCCAGTGCGCCCAAGCTTAAGAAGGCAATGCTCATATTGAGAAGAGATATCTTCTTCTCTATGTCTTGATTTATACCTGTTGTAGGTTATATGGGTGAATTTTCATGTTCTTTTTTTCCTAGAATTTAATTGGGTTCAGTTTTCACTGGATCACTTATTGTACTGTTTACTTGTATGTTATTTATGATGGGCAATCCCCATATTTTATTGATTTCTTGAGTATGGGAGTTTATGTGTGTAAATCTAATCCAGATTATCAGTTTATAGGTTTATCAAGGCCTAGCCATGGTTTATGTACTAGCTGCTTACATCACTGGATCAATGTCTTAGGTTTTGTACCATCAAATTGTCTTAGCAGAATCTCTTGCTTATAGCTCTACTAACTTTGGCATGATAAGGATTTTATGTTCTTTGAGATAAGATTGCTGCAATTGTTGTGCTTTTATGGAGTAATCCTGGAGTGACCTTCTTTGGGAATCTTGGCATTGTTTTTTTCAAATGCGTAGTGTCGAATGGATGCTCTGGATTCTTTATATCTGGTTCTTCATGTTAAGGTGATTCACAGATATATTCACTTTGAAGTAGCAAGCTCTGTTGCTTGAATCGTCTGAAACCATAGATCAAGTTAAATTTGAAGAAAATAGCCAGACTAGCTCTGTATTTTATTGTGATATGAGCTAAATAATTGTTTATTTATTTATTTTCTTGATAAGAGTCTTCATTCCATGATTTTATAGCAGCTTTAGTTTTGAGTTCTTTCCTACACTACGAAATGTTGAACTAGGTTTGAGAAACTCATGAAAAGTTATATCCATCTTACAAATTTAAGGTATCCAGCTTATATAATTTAGATTTTATATTTTTTCTATTATTATTTGCAAACCACTTGTGATATGTACTTTGCAGTATATTTTTTGATGCCCCTGATAGTTTGAAAATTCTAGTTTCGACTTTTGGACATTTTTTAACTTGATTCTAGTATCTACAAGTTGATATGAGCGACAATATTTGTCTTTTTGTGATATGTACTTTATGCAGTATATTTTTTGATGCCCCTGATAGTTTGAAAATTCTAGTTTCATCTTTTAGACCTTTTTTAAGTTGATTCTAGCATCTACGTGTTGATATGAGCAACAATATTTGTCTTTTATGAAGTATAATATTCCAGACTTCAACTCATGGAGCTTTAATGGAACGCATAGATCTTTAAAATATCCTTTTTGGGGTTAGTATCCATTGACCCACTTAGTTTCCTTAATATGGATTGTATTTTGATATTAGGGGTGGCCCGACTCAGCCCTGTCATCCAGGCCCTGAGCAGCCTGCCCTAGGCCACTAACATTTGCCTGAGGGCCAGACCCGGGCCTGAAAATTGGGCCTGGTGTCCGGTTTGGGCCAGGCCTTGGCCAGTCTTCCCTAAGTTTTTTTGTTTTTCCTTATGAATTTAGCAAAAAATAAATTGTCTACTACCTTAGCCTTGTCTGTCCCGGCCAGACCTCATTAACAGACCCAGACTGAGCCACCTTGCTCAAGTATACAGCAGGTCTTGAGCTGGGGTTCCTGTGGCCCAGTCCAGGCAGGTCTGGACAAGACAAGTCTCTGGCCAGCTCTGGACTGGCTCAAGCCCAGCCCATTGCTCCCTTATTTGTACCCTTTCAACTATGTCGAAAAGTAGTTGGAGTTGGTATCCATTGATTCAAATTGCTTAACCACTCTCTTATAAATGTGGACTGCAGTAATACATTGATATTCCATTCATATCGAAACTACTAATTTCCAAGAGATTTACGGTTAATTCATGACATTAGCTCCTGTTTGTTAATATTTTCAAATCCTACTTCTCTTTCTAAGCACTTTAAAAGTTACAAAAGTTAAACCTTTCATGAAGTTAATACACTGTAACTTACTTTTTTTCCAGGTGTGCAGTAGTTATTGTTGTTGGTGGGTGGACTCTCTCTCTCTCTC